AGCTCTACACTCCCAAGTATTTGTCCTAGAAGAAGAACGCACAAGTACATGCAAAGACATATACACTAATGCACATAGTCGCTTTATTTACGAGAGACTCAAATTAACAACAACCCAAATGTTTCTCAAGGGATCGGTGGATAAAACCAATTGTGCTATATCCAAATACTGGAACAGTACTCAGCAGTAATAAAGAAGGAACTATGGACACATGCAACAAAATAGATAAATCAAAAAACAAAACAAACAGGCATCTAGTTTTCGTCCTGACATGTAATGAGCTTGGACATCATCACTCCATCCTAATAAATAAAAAGGTGAACAAACCAAAAAATCACCAACTCTTTGTGGATCCCTCAGAGAAGTGTGGTCAAAGGAGAAACCACTGCCCCAACACTGGAGAGTCAGACAGGCAAATACAGAGAATCACAACTCACTGGAGCAGAAACCTCTCTGGGAACCAATATCAGAGTAGGAAAACCCAAACTGTGAGTGATACAATTTCTGGAAGCTCTATGTGGAGAAATCAGAGAGTTAAAAACTCCAGGGGTACATAGTCATAGTAGACCTCCACATTTTTGTGAGTTTTACTGACAGAAGCTCAACTGGGGTCTCATAGTGAGAATAACTGAGATGTACCTTCTTTTACTTCCTGTAGGGGAGGGAGGGAAAAAGTAACCATTTTGAAATACAGTCATAGCATTCTCTTCTTCTGAAGTCTTCCCCCGGGGGAAACGAGTTCACCAGACTCTAACCTACAGGAGTATCACAATCTGACTTGTGAGGAAAATAATTCCCAACTCATGTTTGTTCTAGTCTTCCATGAAGGAGCAGGAAAATTCCCACATACAGTCCCCTGTAGCCTTTCAGACCCACCCCACTGAAGGCCTGGTGACTAAAGCGCCTTGTACCCAGCTCATTGTGTCCAGCTTTCAACCCAAAATTGCAAGATATAATAAAAAGACAAGTTGGAAGAGACAGAACAAACATCAAACCAGACTCAGGCTGGGCAGGGTCTCTTCCTTGATGTTTATGACTCCAAAGCACTTGCTCCAAACCAGAGCTGTACGGCAAAGAGGATGCTCACCAGGAACACTGTCAGAGCCAGGGACAGAGCCTGGCAGCCTGAGTACCTAGAGCTGCTGGTGGCAGATCTTTAGCAAATGAATAAGGACACGTACTGTTGAGAAAGCTAATGTCTGTTCTCCTTGTGCTTACCCAGCCTGCAGTGGGGAGCCACGCTTAGGGCCTCTCATTTTTGTCTTAGCAAAGACACAAGCAGGAGCCATCTGAAGCCATTGTTTTTTCTGTCCTTAGGAAAACTCAAACTCGGGCAACCCCCTCGGGTCCCCTCCCATTGTGGGAGCTTTTCTGTCCTCTCAATAAATCCTGCTTTCAAAACAAAACAAAGCAAAAAACCTCAAACTTACAGAAAGGATTGGGCTGCTTGGACCTGGTGGGAAGAGGAGGGCCTCTGAGGACACAGAAATGGTAGAGGAAGGGAGATTCTTTTCAGACTGAGGTGAGGTGGGGTCCACAGGTCCCTCCAGAGATAGGGGCCTGAGCGATGATCCATATCGAATCACAAGGCTGATCACAGATTGTTCATTAAGGCAGGGCATCACTTTCCTAATTGGATCTGAGAATGGATGTCTGTAGTAACTATTTTTTCTCCTTTTCTATATGCTTGACGCTCTGGCATATGGGGCCTTGCTGGCTAGGGAGGGACTGCCCTTCCCAGGGTTAGCTAATTCCCAGAGCTTGCAAACAACTCACCTGAGAGGGTGCCTGTCAGTGGCAGACTAACCAATCCAGACCCTCCACCCCAGCCACACACATACTCACACCTCCTCTATTGGGCTCTTACATTCTAGGCCAATTATCCCCTGCCCTGATTTGCCAGGGCCTGATGACGGACAACTCAATGACAACCTCTGCACTCCAGAGCCCCGGGAAATTATTAAAAGTAATTCATCCTAATCCTGCATATCCTGCATTGTGTTACTTCTTGAGGAAACCACAATAAAGGCTCTTGCAATGTTTTCCTCCCCCTCCTTTTGCCTCCCAGACTAAATCAGTATTTCCCTGTGTGCACTTGTGTGGCATGAAGAGATCTCCCCCACGTGAACTGTGAGTAACAAACTATCTTCTCAGTTTTAGTCATCTCCTGATCTGCTGCCTCACCTTACCTAAACAATAATAAAACCTACATTTTATAACCGCGGGTAAGGATGAGGGGGATTGAAGGCCCTGAAGAGAGCTTGGCAAGCGGTCAGTCCCCCCTGAGCCCTGTACCCATGTGAGGGCCTTTCCCTGCTACATCAGAATAAACTCCCACAATTGGGACTGCTTCATCAAAGAGCATTAACGTTTAGCTGTACTTTCCAACGGAACTAACTGAAAGTGAAGCATTGCTCATATTTACTTTCTAACTGAACTGTCAACTTTGTTTTAGTGTGTTTCCCATCCCACCTATAAAAAGGGAGCATCTATTTTTACAGATCTCATCAGATAATGGGTTTTACAAGATTTTAAATATTGGCTCCCCTGATGTTCTGGTGTTAGGATACTTTTTATTTTTCCCTGTATTTCCTTATGAACAGCATTATCCTAATGAATGCCTCAGAATATTTCTAGGAATAATTCTAGTGTTTGAAAAGTAAACCTTGATGACTGAGTGTGTATGTTCATGCCACATCCCATTCACATGGAAAATGTGAGGCCAAACAGGAGATTAAAAAAAAAAAAAAAAAAGAACATATTCTGAGCCATAAAACACTTCTAACACATCTAGATTGTGGTAATGGTTGTACAATATTGTTAATGTGCTAAAAACTACTTACTTGTATGCTTTTAAACGGTTAGAATGGTGAATTCTTTGTTATGTGACTTCTATCCCCATAAAAAATATGAAAATAGGAGGAGGTGGTGATGGTGCCTCATTGCAAAACCCCTTTGAGCAAAGTTCCTCTCACTGTGGCTCTTCCCTGAAATCACAAGAAATACACAAGCTCAGAAGATTGGGTAAATCTTTTACCACTGTGAAGCCTTTAAGTCGACAAGAGTTAATCAAAATAGAAAAAAAAAATATGGCCCACAGGTGCAGGGGGCCAGCCCCTGCAAGTTTTGGGGAGTCCCTTGGAAGATGTGGTGGCGTCGGCGAATCTGTAGGGACAGATATTAAAAGAAAGAAAGAGAAGCGGGGAGAGAGAAAAAGACTGGACTCTGTCTAGCGCAGAAGCCGTTTATTGAAAGTTACAGCAGGTATTTATCCCCAAATTTTACACAGGCAGTCTCACAATTCACGTGAACACAAAGCCAGGTGCAGGAGGGGCGTCCCCCAACCACCAGATGTTTTCTCAGGTATGAGGAAAACCCCCAAATTGTCTTATTGTTCTCTTTTGCTAGTTAATGTTCCTCAAAAGCAATGTAACAATCCCTACTAGCATCATGATGTTCTGATAATCAATAACTTCTACAGGTCATGCGCACACAACACCCATGATGACTAACTTAAATTTTATTACCCTTCTATTCTATGCTAATACTACTTACACAATGCTACGGAAGCTCTTAGTTATAGCTTAAGCCAATTCCTAAAGAATATGGCCCAGTCCAAAGATCACGCTGGGCTCTACAGGATGTGGCCCAGTCCAAGGTTCACAGTGGGCCACTTTTTGGAACAATAGATTACAATCTCTTAACAAAATGGCTATTCTAAAGTCCTATATATCTATCCTAATTTCTATGAACGCTTCTAATTCCTAATGCTAATATATAAAGCTGATCATCAGCAATAAAGCTTCTAAAAATAAAACCCAAATATAAACTGTAAAGGTACTAAGGCCAAAACCACAATAGTAGAAAGTGGAGACAATGAAATTTCTAAAGTTAACTGTATTCTTATTAAACCTCAAAATATCATGATTGATCATGCTTGAACTAACATGATTCCCTGACATTAGCACGACCTATTCTACAATACTTTCTATAAATAAAATAAATTCAATTTCTACAATAGGTAGAAAAACCCTACACTAACTGTAGCTAATGCCGGCCTAAAAGAATGCAGCCCAGTCCAAAGTACGCGTTGGGCCCTGAGGAATGTGGCCCAGCCCAAAGTTTGTGTTGGGCCATTTCTGATAACTCTAGATAATCATCTATACCACTGAAAAACTGAAAACAGCTCTCCCATAAGTATATACTAATTCTACAAATATACTTTTAAATCTTATAAAGAAGCTTGTACCGTATAAAAGGCTCCCAAGTGTGACCTGAATTTGAATGATATCTAATACCTAAGCCGAAACCACAGTTTATGGGAAACAGGCACAATGAGTTTCTAGAGTGAGCCATGCCTGTCACAGTCACAGAGCCTTCAGCTTAGGCCAGCACAGTTCCTTTAGGTTACTTGTGCTACATGGTAAAAGGAGGAGGAAAATGGGGTCAACGGCTCCCGAAGACATCCTAGTGGTTTTGGGGTCCACGGCCCTCCCTGATCCCTAACGCTCAGTAGGCCTCCGTGGCCGGCTCCCAACACACAGGATCTAAAAGAGGAGTGGACGTCCGTGTTTACTAACAGAGGCACGCCTTCATTTGAATGGTGTTTAGTGGCCATCAGGAGGAGTAAGTATACCATCCATCCCCTAGGTGTATGGAGGAAGGCTGGATCCTTCAGCTAGCACCAGATGAACTTTGACCTGTTTCTTAAAAACTAGTCTAGAACAGAGTTTTTACATAGCTAGCTGGAACCCAGTACTGGGTCGTAAAATCAATTTGGTAGGCCATTGCAAGCATTTTAAAAAGAAACTATACAAGGGATTGAAGATGAATGGAAATAAATGTACACTGGGTCACAGATAGTAAGGCAATATATATTGGTTCCAGTTATAAGCAAATGTATGTTTGTATAAACCAAGATGTCAAATACATTTTTATAAATTCTAGTCCAAAAAAATCTGAAAAAAAGTAGTCTACAAGAGCCAGTAAAAGTCTCTGCCTTTAGTATAAAATACTGTATTTATTATATTTCTTCAGTAATAGGAAAAGTTTACAAATTTTTTGGCATACACACACACGATAAATTACATCTAAAGATATGTATTACATGAAATATCTATAAAACACATTCCTGAAGTTAAAAATTTTCATGTGTTTACTAATTTCATTCAAACTTTCCTATACTTGAAGTTAAATGCAGAAGATATAAAAACAAAGTGTCTAGGAAACAATCCATTTCTATGCTTTGGTCTTTATCATCATCAAAGCCCAAAAGTGCTTTACAAGTGGAAAAATACTGACATATGTACTGTCCTTTGGCTTAGTCAGTTCAGACTGTTATAACAGAATACCACACAGACTATGTGGCTTATAAAAGAAACTTATTTCTCATGGTTCTGGAGCCTGGGAAGTTCAAGATTAAGGAATTCGAAGACTCAATGTTTGAGGAAGGGCCTCTTCCAGTTTGGAAGACAGCCCTCCATCCTCACCCACCTCCTCATGATGGGGAGAGAGCAAGAGATCTCTCTCTTGTCTCTGTTACTACAAAGGCACTGATCCCACCATTGGGGCTGCACCCCCACAACCTCATCTAAACTTAATTACTTTCCAAAGGCCCAACTTCCAGATAATATTACAAACTGGGGAATAGAGTCTCAACATATAAATTCGGGGATGACACGGTAAGTCCACAGTATCCCTTTTGTGAAGAGTTTCATCCACTTCAACTTGTTATACTCATTTGCTAAATATTTATTATAATAGTACATCTGAAGATAATTCTGGGGAAATTTCTTCTTCAGCACATATGAAATGGATATTGTGATGAAGCACACACAAAAACGTAAATCTTCATGTTACCCAAACAGATGTCTTCTTCAACTGGATAGTGTATTAAATAATCAAGGAAGTGTTTCCCAAGTGTTCTGACGTAATGTTTCTGATGCTTTATATATGCATTTCCAATCAAAGATAGTTCAAAAAACTAAAAATAAGTAAACAGGCTGATTGAAACAAGCCAGACCACCTACCCACCACCCACCAAAATTACAATCTGCATGATTCCATTTACAAAACATTGTAGAAAATCAACACTGATCACTTTGCAGATCAGTTGTTGCCTGGAACAGGGCATGGTGAGGGGAAGGCAGTCACCAAGTAAAGACCCGAGGATTTGATGTCCTGAAAATATCATCATAATCCTATTTAAGAGTACCTGGTTAATATAAAGGACCTCAGTGGGTATCATTAGAATTTTTAAAAAGCGCATATAGGTAAGTAGTACTTTTTAAAATTCTAAGTGACGCCTGTAACCAACACATGGGATATTTTGGCTCTTAAAACACGTCATCATAGAAGTGATAAAACCATCATTACCTGGGAAGAATCCGTGTTACAATATCAAATCGCCAGGAAGATCTTTTAACCAACTGCATATGTCAACCCCCACCTAAGAGATACATGGGGATCACTATTATTTATCTCGGCAGAAAAATATATGTATATTTGCCGCAAGTGCATGTTTAGGTCAAGTTCTTTTTTCAATGTGGAAAATTCACTGCTTTCAGACAGAAAAGACATCTCTTAGATGTATGTCCAGGACTGCTTCAAAGCATGTAGCTGCTAATAGAAGGAAATTCCACCTGCTAAACCTGTTTTCCAATGATGAGACCAAAAGAGTTTCTCCAGTTTTAGACTATTCTGTGAGCCACTGACAAAGATTCTTTGCTTGGCCAAACTTTCCTCAGGTTTCTGCATCTTTTGCTAGGCCCATCTGTGCGCTCTCTCATACAACCCAGTTTTACAAAGAACCCTGTTATGTTAGTTTAGCAAGAACGCCCCCATTCCTAGGTGTCTGATCACCTTGAATACCTGAACAGGTTTCATCCCCTCCCGTCCCCCAAGTGACATCTGATCACTCCTGGCTGTTTTCAGCAAGAAACCTATTGGGTGAGTTTAGCCAAAATCTTCCTTACCCCAATGTTTCCTCTTAGTAATTTTCCGTCCACATTGATCCCACATTGACCTCCACATTGATTTTTAGCTCTGAGTTCCCACTTGTCCTTGCCGTATTTGGTGTTGAGCCCAATGCCTCTCCCCCACTGCAAGATGCCGCTGGAGGTCCCTGTACCTGTCATGATGGTTCTGAAGACGGTTTACCTTACCGTGCTTTAAAAAGTATCACTGAATATATAAATATATATTTTTTAACAGCACACCGGTGCTATTCTACAACATGTTTTGGTTCAGATTTATGAACTCACTTGAGCAGCCATGATATCCCACCGTGGATAGAAGCGCTGGGGGTCTCCTGAGGACTGCAGCCCTTCAAATCTGGAGAAGAAGCTTCAGCAGCCACCAGAAGCCAGGTCCTCTGAACACCTCCCGATATGAGCCAGGTTCTCCTTCACACACTGATCGAGCTCAGCCACCCGATGAAGAACTGCACAGGAGAGAGAGAATCCAGCAATCACTTTGCTTTATTGGAGTGACGGTGTGCCTGGCTCCATGCTGGGCACTGGGTCAATGACCAATGACACTGATACAACGGGGGTAGCAGCGAAAACAACGGAAGGTACAGTGGGTTTCTCACCAGGGCCTTTTCTTCTCCTTTCCTCATCTATCCCTTAACAACAAATCTGAAAACGGATAAGAAGTGGCCCGAATTCATGCAGGCACTCCTGGTCCCGCAACAACCCCGGGGCGCTGGGCTTGCATCCGTATTACCACAATCCTGGTTCCAGCCATCGGGTGGGCGGGCATTCGTGTCCCCGTTTTAGAGGAGGGAGCTGGGCTCAGACAGAGCCGCCACCTGTGTCACCCCCCCGCGCCGGCCTTTCCATGGACAGTAGCCCCAAGACCCCCTGGAGCAGGACACCACACTCCCTGGGGCCGGGCGGGTCCCACCGCTCTCTCCCTCACGGGACAGTCGGGGCAACTTGTCCCAAAGCGCGAACGAGGCGACTTGGATCCGGGATCGCTTCATGTCCCCGCGCCCCAGGGCGGTCCGGCCCCACCACCGCGCACCCGCACCCGCAGCTCCATCCAAACACCTGAAGACGCGACCTGGCTCCTCTGGCCAGGCCATGTTGGCGTCCGTGAAAAGTCGTCACAGGCGCCAGGATGACGTCAGCTCCCTACGGGAGCCGCGACGCTCAGGCGGGTCCTCCGCACAACACGGGGTCATTTTGCCTTTTGCAGAAAGTCATTCGCTTTTACCCCTCAGACCGGCACCTGAGAAGGCGTGCTGTTTAGAGAAAGCAGAAGGAACGCAGTCTCGTGTCGGGAAACACAGCCTACTGAGCCTGCCCGCCTCAAGAATTGCAAGGGTCGTGCACCTCTCGCGGCGGTTCCTCCGAGGGCCTCCCAGGGAGTTGCCATGTGACCCAGCAGTGCCACTCCTGGGTCCACGCCCAAGGAAAATGGAAACGTATATCTTCGTAAAAACACGAAGCATAACCGTATGTCGCACTTTCTTCCAAGTAGCCAACAACGGGAGACAGCCCAAGTGCCCGTCAAAAGTTGAATGGATGAAAAACATGTTATGTCCACACAAAAGAACATTTTCCGCCGTGAGAAGGAATACAGTTCTGACACATGCTGCATCCTGGGTGCGCCTTGAATAAGTTATGCTAGGTGAAAGAAAGCAGACACAACAGACGAAATATTGTATGAGTCCACAGATAATGAATATCTAGGAATATGCAAGTGTCTAGAGACAGAGGAGACGCATCTGTGACTCCCCGGGGCTGGGCTAGGAGCAGGGATTAGCGACACTGAAGCACTATGAAACCTTTTCTGGTGGTAGAAATGTCTAAAACTCGATTCTGGTGAAGGTGGCACAACTTTACACACCTACTGAACATCGTCAGAGTGTATGCTTAAAATGTATTCATTTTATTGTCTGCAAATACATTGCAAGGAAGCTGTTTAAAAGTACGGCTTAGGCTTGGCTTGGCCGCCTTCTGTACCACTGCAATTACCAAACTTTTTCATACAAAGACCTTGGTGCATGTGTTTGAGTGTATATACAACTGTAGTTGTGCCCAGCCCTGCTGGCTGTGTGTCCTCTGTAGTTCCAAGCAACGGCAGTCCCCTCACTCATGCTACCTCAGGTTGCACTTAGTGCAA